TCGGGGTGGTGGAGACCCCTACATCTTTGGAACGGACCTCATTTTGGAGTTTGATCATATAAGAAACACTAACAGGAAGCTACGCACGGTGGAGGCCATCGCTATTAGGTTGGAGGCCATTACTAGTAACAGCGAAGCTACCAGGTTGTTTTTTTTTTGACCTGTCCCCGAGTCCCGAAGGCTGTGGGTTCCTGATTTGGTTTGTGGACCGATGTCTTTCCCGCTGTTTCACGAAGGATTTGAGACTCCAGGTCACCAGGTGCAGATATTTTTGTCAACGGTCTTGGAAGACGAGGGTGCTGTATACTGTACAGCAGGTCTTTCTTTCTTTCCGATACATGAAGCAAGTGCTTTCTGCTGCTAGTGCTATACAGCAGGTCGAGACAATACTGTAGTCGGAAGACTCTATTTTGCCTCCTAAAGGAAGTTCCCCCCCAAATCAGGTACTCGAGTCAGACCATTCCTTTAATAGTGATTGTAGCTTTCCAATATGGTCATTGGGCCTAAGGTCCTCCTTGAAGGGGTCTTGGTCCCTTCCTATACTGTGAGATCCCTATGGACATTTCCACATCCATCAACCAGCTTCTAATAGCTTCTTGTTCCTAGTAGTATGGCCAGGAGCCCCTAGTAGCATCCTTTGAACATGCCATCAACCAGCTTCTAATGGCTTCGTGGCCTCTTTGGAGTTCGATTTCCACCGAACAACCGATTCTTGGTGATCGGTGACCGGTGACCATTCCCATTGAAAAGCTCAACCGATTCGGTCACCGAGCGACTCACCGAGCGACTCACCGAGCGGTCGCTTTTTGGTGGACCACCGGCGACCCGGTCTCCACGGACCAGTCCCTTTATCCCGACCCAACTCCACCCGACCCGGTCGAGACCGGAGAGATCCGGGTCTCCGCGGTGGTTTCAGCGAGCGCCGGGCGATCGGAGGCTCTTCGATCTGAGGAGAATCGCAGCTGGGACCAGAAAAGGTTGATGCTGTCGGCCCAGAGAGGTTCAGTGACCTTATAGGACCCTACTAGCTGAGGTACTGATGGTATAGTCAAGAGGGTCCTTCACCTTCAACCTCTGTTCCGAGTGAGGTTGAGAGGTGGCTGGGAGGCAGAGTTCATCAAAGCCGTCGTCCGCTTCCAGGGCAACACGGACACTCCAAACAACCCTTGGTCTTCAAGGAATGGCCCACCCGGTTTAGTCGGGAGAGCCGGACCGAGAAGACCATGATAAAGAGTTCGGGACAGACCTGGGCGTGGTATGGTAGTGTAACAATCCTTAGTCAAATAGTAAAACGCAGGGCTTTTCAGGTCCAAAACTTTCCCCTCAACTATACCAGCACCCGAAACCTGCCAGGTCACACCCTGCCACTTCAACAAGTCTACCACCTTCAACAAAAAACCTCTTGTTTCCGGAACTCAGGCTGCGAGCCAGCCGACCCCCAACCCATCCCGAGCCCCCACCCAAAACAAACGTCAGCACCCACCCGCCCCAGTCACCCCCAGTCACCCCGCCGCCTCCGGACCGGTTCGCCCGCCGTCGGGTCCCCCGGGGCCCGCGCCGGCGCCTCGGCACCCCGTGGCGCCGAGGGCCGGACCTCACGAGAGAGTCCTCGGAGCGCCCCGTGGAGGTGGACGCCGAGTGTCTCGCCGACAGGCGGGGTGCGGATGGGGCGGGAGGGGGCGGGAGGTGGGGCGTGGAGGTGGGGCGTGGATTGGGATGGTGGGGCGGTGCCCACAACCGGGCGCGACCAAAGGGGCTGTGGCGGTTCCATGGGAGATCTGGGAGCCTCTCCATTCAGGGCATGGAAATTCAGGGACACCCCTATAGGCCCTATTGTTATTGATCCCTTGGGAGGTCGTGGGGGGGGAGGTCCTCTCTCCTTTGGTACACACGCAGCGAGCGTCAGCGCAGGATCCGTGCCATCTTCGATCGCTTTGACAAGGTGAGGGAGGAGAGGAGAGGAGGTGATCGCTTTTGGCCGTTTTGGAGAGAGGCATTTGGAGGGTTTTGGTCCAAACAGGTTTACTTGTGAGGGTTTCTTGATTACTCGGCTTTGCTGGGTTGCTTGGGTCGCCTGTTAGGGAGAGTGGTCTTTTTTGGGGGGATCCTCCACGGCAAAAAGGCCGGAATTGGTGGCGAAGGTTCCCCCCAACAAACGATCACAGGGAGGGTTCTGGGGGTTTAGTTGTTCACGGCCTCAGACACTAGTTTTTGTGTTCGTCATCGATGCCTTCTTCGGCGCCGTTGATGTTTCTACTACCGAAGACTTTATCAGTTTTTTGGGGGTCAAACGTTCAAAAAGGGCGGTGCTGAAGAGCGTCACCGTCCAACAAATCAACATCCGTTCCTTCACTCAAAGTCTCCCGCTTCCCGCAACACATGAATCATCCTTTGGGATGCCCAGCCAACGGTCTTGGATGAGAGACCCTAGGTGTCAAGGAGAAAAGGAATGGTTTTTTTTTCGGGGACCTGAAAGGGGACCTGCATAGCGACAGCGAGCGAAGTGAGCGAAGTGCAGAGAGAGCGTCTCACCCAGATGCGACCGACCCGGGCGGCTGGACCGAACTCGTTGGGTCTTCGGGGGACCCGGGAGGGACTGAGAAAGGGGGGAAACGGAACGTCTGGGCACGAACTCGTCCCGTCCGCGCGCGAACAGAAGAACCGGGTGTTTTCAAGGTGTTGGGAGAACAGAAGATTGAATCGAGAGTCGAATCGGCCGAATCGGCAGCTGAAGATGGTACGGCACCAAGCACAGCATCAAAAGAGAGGATTTCTCCTTCCCCCCACAGGTCCAAACACCCAGTAAAACCTGATCTTTTGCCTCCTTATTGAGTGTGGTGTTGTGTGATCAACCTCCAGTAAATAATCCTGTGGGTCATTGCGGGTCTTTAAAAGGCCAGGCCAAGTCGTTGAAAGAGGACACAATCGTCGGACGATCTGTCAAGAACCGATCGGTCAAAATGAAGGGGTTCAAGAACTCCAATGATTCATACCCAACTCAATGAACATTTGACCAGCACCGACACCTAGACGAGGTCTTTGTAAGTAGCCTCTTGGAGGAGATTCGGGGTGTCCCAAAACCACCTGACTTGGAAGGTCCTGGGATATACCATCACTTGGGAAGACTGAGACTGCACCCCCACAAATTGGATTTGAGGATGTCTTTCCTTAAACAAATCATGCAGGTGGATAGAAGAGACTTCACCAGTCGACTGCCTGAGCTGCTGAGTCAACCCATCGCCAGGCCACGGAGTCCACAGTTGAGTCAAATCCATGCAGATGTCTGTATAAATGCCCAGACAATATGCGAGAGAATGCCTGGTCTGGACGGAATCTTCTTGAAACCTCTTGATCTTGACATCAATTCTCTTGATCACAGTCCCGGGACATGCATCAATAGATCTAAAGAAAGAACCGAAAGGAGCCTTCTGAATCCAACCAGGACATTCCCCGGTGACCGGTCACGTATAGGTGACCGGTCACTAACAGAAACTGGCCCCTGTTCTCGTGGTTGGGGCCACCTGGTCGACGTGGCAACGGTCGTGCCCTCGTGGTGAAAGGTCGCTGGTTCTCTCCCATGGTGAAGGTCGCTAAGTCTCACCGAACTGACTGAAAAGGCTTCCCCCGCCCCCGCCAAGATCTGAAAACCAGGGTGGGAAGCTCCTGGTGACGGCTTTTGTCCCTTCCTCATAACACTCGGAGCTGGGCTGAGCCGGAACGAGTCCCCAGACCATCCCAGGGTGGCACCGGCACCTTGGACAGGCGCACCGGACCGGCTGGTCGGGTGGTCGGGTGGTCGGGAACCGCGATCGCGAAACGGAGAACAGGCCATTTTCACAGAATCATGTCCAGGCCATGCACTTGCCGCTCTTGAACACGCGAGGGGGCCTTCTTCACATGCAATCAAGTCGACACAGTTTTTCCAGTTGTCCCACTCTTTGACATGCCGAACTCCAAGGTTTTTGGGAGCTCGAATCCCTTGAAGTTCCGGACACTTGTGCTATCTTTCATCCTTAGGGCTCCTGGCCCCATATCCTCAGGTTCGGTGGTTAGGCCCCCCCAAATCCACCCACCCCAGGCACCTTACCTGGGGATATCGTTGGAGCCCTAGGGATAATCTTAAACCGTATGTTCATCATAGGATTTGATGAATACTGTACAAAAGCTATAGTTTGGAGCTTGTCTCCCCAAACCTACATGGTTCCTCACCAGGAGCAGGTAGTTTCGATCATGATGTCCCGTGCTGGTCAGTCCAATTGGATTTCGGAAAAGCCAGGTTTACGAGGAACATGCACAGAGGTACCCGTCGCCTGATTGGCTCAAACATGGAAGCCCAGCCATATGTACCCAACATTGCTACTAGAAGCAGTATCTGGAACCCAGACATGACCTCGGTTTTGATGGGAAAAGCCAATCTTTTGGCATTTGCAGAGGTCATTCAGCTTCATAGATTCATATAGAATCATATAGATAGTGAGCCTATGTGCTGATTTTTGGAAATCCAGCTGCGAAACAATCGAAGCCTGTGACACTGGGTTTGGGCCGGCTTTCATGTCAAGCAGCTTCATAGATTCATATAGAATCATATAGATAGTGAGCCTATGTGGTGATTTTTGGAAATCCAGCTGCGAAACAATCGACGCCTGTGACACTGGGTTTGGGCCGGCTTTCATGTCAAGCAGTTTCATAGATTCATATAGAATCATATAGATAGTGAGCCTATGTGGTGATTTTTGGAAATCCAGCTGCGAAACACTCGAAGCCTGTGACACTGGGTTTGAGCCGGCTTTCATGTCAAGCAGGTGTCCTAAGTAGTGGAAAAGCCCTGGCTTTGTCATGTCTGTTCCATCTGTCAGACCAAACATCCCACCTTTCACGCTACCCAAAAACCGAACATCCCCACCCCTCCAGACCTCCCAAAGATCGCCACCGGCTTCCGTTTGGACCGGGTCCATGGCGCGGCGCGGACGGGTGCGGACGGCGCGGACCGGCGGTGACCCATGGTGCGCTGCGAAGCGCGGGGAGGAAGGCTCTGCTTGCTGTTGGCGGCGGCGGCGGTGGGTTTGACACTGCTTCAGTTGGGCTTGAGACACGGCCTGAGAGAGCGACACGCGTCGTCGCGGGACACAGGCGAGAGAAGGAGGGCCCGGCACCCAGGAGGTCGAGGAGGCCCGGTGGTTTTCTTGGGTTCATGTTGCGGGCGTGTTCCAGTGTTCCAGGTTTGGACTCACACCCCAAGGGCCTCCACTGCCACCTTTCTCTTAGAAGGTACGACTGGAGCCTCCAAGACGGCCTAAAAGAGTTTCCAATCATCTTCTCAGGTCCGGTGCCAGGTGGCCTTGGGATAGCCAGTTTGGAGGCCCTTTCAATCATTCTCAATCTACCAGGGCCCAGTCCCTCAGCCTCTCAAGCCTCTCCGAAGCTCGGTGGGTGAAAGGATTTCAAGCTCTCTGAAGCCCCGGGTGGAACTCACCGAAGGTGGGTGACTGAAATCTTTTTTCCTTTTTTTTTCAGCACTCGAGCTGTCAAACTTTTTGGAGGGAGGGTGTTCCTACCATTTATCATGGATAACACGCACACAGATCGTCCAGAGATGTCCAGGTCGTGCTTCGCTTCTAGACCAACCACCGGTGGCCTATCTGGTTCTGTTCAGTTTTTGGTTTCGAGGCCAAGAAGGAGAAAGGTACTACCACAGAAAAGTAAGACAGACCTTACCACACGAGCTGGAAAATTTTGGATGTTTTTTTCTTTTCGTTTGGAAGGATGTCTCAGTCCGATCCAACTAAAGAAAGCACACACAGACAGCTCCTCATCCCGGTGGTACTTCGAGAGTTCGGAGGAACGACTATCTCCTGGGCGAGTCCCTTCTTTTGGACTATCGAAACCATGGACTGCTGGCTGTGGACCTCTTGAAACATGGGGCCCCACTGCGCCCCGCGAACGGCTTCGGCGAGCTTAGGAAGAGGCACTCTGAGCTCAACCTCCGCGTGGATTGGCTGATGCCTGCGATGCCTTCGTTTGTGGTGCAACACCTCGAAGCTTTGGGCAACCGCCAGTCACCCCCAGAAAGCCAGGCATGGACCTGCGGTCAGCGGGTGACTTCGGGTGGCCAAGGGACTTAGACTTCGGGGAGTACTTTGGGGGTCAAGATTTTGCTTGGATGGCTGATGATTGGATTTGGCATGCGGAATTTCTGAGATTTGAGAACAAGGCTCTCAAGGCTCTCCAGGCCTGCGAATGATGCACCTGTTTCTCACCTTGCTACATCCATCATCCCTAGCCTTTCAAGACCACTAAATAGAAAGGTTGACCTGGTACAACAGCTGGTTCCTCGGTAAAACATCCATGTGAAGGGCCAGGAAGCCTACTCCTTCATGAACGAGTTCTGCACTTCAATCCTCTTGGCTTTCTCTCCGGACACACCGACTGCCACGGCGGCCGAAGGGCGGCCGTTCGGCAGGTCTCGCCAAACCGGCCCGACGCGGACGCTGCAGGCGTCGGTCCGGGATCGCGAGCGGTCCTTAGCCGTCCGAGCGGACGGATGTTGGGGGCATTTCGTGCTGCCATCCGTGCATCGAATTCCGCCAAGTGAGTGTTTTGGAGCATTTCGTGCTGCCGGTGTGTGTTGGTGTGTGTGTGTGTGTGTGTTCAGTGTGTTCCTTTTTGTTCTCTCTCTGTCTCTCTCTCTCTCTCTCTCTTTTTTTTGAGGAAGGATCAATGAGTTGGGTGAGTAGTAAAGGAGTTAGAGCCATTTTGGCATTCATGCTTTGGCTCTGTCCTCGTCCACTGGACACGTTTTCCCCGCTTTAGCGCAGCTCTTGGATGATTTGTGTACGCATGTTTGAGCATTTCTTTTCCAGCTCTGGATACATGATCACCCTTCTTATTTTGGCAGAAGCAAGAGTCTAAGAGGCTCATGTTCCAGCAACATTTGTGGAATGGTGGATACATCATCACATCACGACACCTGCTTCCGGGTGCCAATTGGTGGTGACGGGAGTCCATTTACCACCCCTTCGGCTCAACACTATCCCATGGGGAGTCTAGGTAGTTGAAAGATGCTAAGTCTCATTTTTAGTCCAAAGTATACCCTCCCCGTTGGATGATTGGCTGGCTGGTTGCTGAATGTCAAGGCTCCAACCTGACTGAAACTTTCATCCTGAGCATCCCACCTGGAACTTGGAACAACTGCTTCGAACTTGATATTTCCCCCAACTGCAAGTGGTTTTGGTGCTTTTCCTTTTTTCCTTATAAAGAATCCGAACTAGCATACCTGCATGACAATTTTTCGGTGTGTTGTTTTGGGTTGCGAGGTGGACACTTGACCTTCCCAACAAAACACCAGACACACAATCGTCGGCCACAGTTTCTTTTTTTTGATCAGGCCGTGGTTGAAGTGTGAAAACAGGCTAGCAACCCTATGGGTTCGTGCATTCCCTTTTCGAGAACATAAGAGTTGTATAATATACTCAAGATGAAAGCACTATCTCTAAGATACCCCCCACCTCCCTTTGTGGCACATTAGGACCATCCTGGCTCCTTTCAGGGCAGAGCCACCAGAGCCACCAGCCACTGCTAGGGCTCCCCAACGACACCGGGCAGGTGCCGCGCCCACGCCCATGCGTTCCTCTGCGGGGACGTCGACCTCCGCGTCCACGTCCGCGGCGACCGCGTCGGCGACGTCGACGTCGACGTCCGCGAGCAGCGCGGCACGTGGGGAGACCACGTGGACCTCCACCGGAGGTGGACTTCCTGCGCCGCCGGAAGGCGATCTCGGCGCGGAGATCGGCCTCGGGTGGGACCGTGTGACCGTGTGATCGGTCAATGGGAAAGAGGTGGGGGGAGAAGGGACATGGGGGGAGTAGTGAGATTCTTTTTTGTTTGACAACATGAGGGGCTGCCTGATTTGGATCCAACAAGACTTGGAGAGCCGGGGGGGAAGGTTTGTAGATCTTAGATGTTCACACCACCCCCACCAGTTTGACGGCGGGAATGCTGAAATAAATGAGTGTCTGAGCGTTTGGGGAGAATTCGTTGGAACATCCGGCAGAGCAACATCATCCACCCCACACCTGCCTGGTTCTTCCAAGTGACCGAACTTGATCCTTTGGGGAACTGGGGTCACCAACAGGCCAGGAAGTGGGGTCGGATGGGAGTCCCCAAAGTTCGGTCACGAACTGAAGAGACTGGTTGATGGATTTGGTATTCCCTGAAAGTATAAAGACTATTCCAGATAGAGATCTTGTTTTCATTTTCTTTCACATTTAGCTAGAGTTAGACTCAAAACCACCTCACCTCCTCAGACCTTCCTTAGGCCTTTTCAGCGTCCGCGCGCGGACCCGCGTGGCACGTCTCTCGCGCGGGCGCCAGGCCTCCGCGTGGCGTCCGGCGCACCGGCGGCGTCCCCGTTCCGGGTGCAGGAGCCGTACAGTTCGTGCGGTGTCCGTGCGCGTGCGGATCATGACGACCAGGCGGTGTGTGCACCAGGTACGTTCCCTGGAACCGGAAGTGGACAACTTGGCCCTGGGAGTGTCAAATGGGTCATTGGCAGTTCTGGGTGATCTTCCTGGCTTCTGCACTCCGTAGCGTGTGAGAAAAAGCATCTAGGCAGAGGACATGCAGCATGAATGGAACTTCTTGGGGAAGCCTCTCAGTGGGATTCTGCACACCAATCCTTGACAACCCAAACCACCAAATAAGATGCGTGAGTACTTTGTGCAGCTGAAGAAAACCGAGTCGCAGGTCGTACGCTTCAATTCACTCGCATGGTTTTTGGGAAAATTGCCAGGTTTGCCCACTGGACTGGCAAAAGGGCCCTGGATGCCAAGGTCTTTCCGACCCAGAAAACACTGCGTAACCGATCCGATCAGCGTCCCACCGCCACATAGCGGCCTACGCTACGGCTCCAGAAACGGTAAACTGCGGGTCGACGCTCAGGACCATGAGCCCTCATCTCAAGAGTTTGCGCCGGTCTTTGTGGATGCTTGATTGAATCGACTGCAGGACTCCAGGAGTTCACAAAAAGCGGGCGACGTTCCAGCTTGTTCATCCAACGGAAAGGAAACGCCACGTGACTTATTGATCGTTTGAACTCATGGGGTTTCGACCAGAGAAGAGGCGCTCCTTTTTGGTCGTTAGGTCAATCACCGGATGTTCTCCGACTGTCCATGACTTGGGCCACAGTCTTGTAAACACTTTAATCAATGGTGGTTGGAATCTTATGGCTGAGGAATTCCGGACGCAGAAGAAACCATCTCAGCCTAGATCTTCCAACTGTGTAGGATTGATGCCTTTTCAAGTTTGGTAGTTCGCGGAGGAAGAGCAGTTCCATGTCAGAGGCCCCCCCATTCAGCATGCCAGTCTATGGTTTGGTGGTTACCGTCCGCGCTTTGCCGCAAGCGCTCGCAGCACCCGCCGTGCTCACCGTGTGGCGCCGGCTCGAAGGAAGAGCAGTTGATGGCTCGGAAGGACTTTCGCATTTTCGAGTTGCAGACCTTCAACTTGACGGTGGACGACCCCGAGCCGCTCGGGGGATGGAGAGGAGAGGAGGGCACATGGAGACCCGGGAGGGGGGGGGTGTCCCACGTGGAGAGAGGCGGGCTTCTCAGAGAGGCGTAGGTTTTTCGGGGGCTGAAGGAGGGAAGGAGCGGTTTCAAGGTGGAGTTTGAGCCGCCAGCAGACAGGACATATACAAAAGAACCACCAGCACGTTCCCGGATCATGGAATACCCAGCCCCACTACTTGTGGATCTCCAGGTCGACACCACGTTTTGAGGAACCCAGCAGGTCGGCCATCGACACACGGAGCGTTCGGCAGAGGAATCTTCCGAGCAGAATGAGATTTTGGTCTGTGTCCGAGACTCTTTCCGGTCTTGGCCGGCGACCAGAAAGAGACTTTTGGCACTTCTGGGGTTTTGAGATTCATTGGTCCAGGACCTTTCAGGAAGTGGTTTTTGGACCATCGATTGAATGGAGCTCAGAAATCCACGTTGTTGGCCGCCCAGCCGCCTTTCCTCGCTTTCCTCGCTGCCCCAGTTTTGATGCGCCGAGGAAAGCCGTGTTCTATCTGGTCTGTTGCGGGCCCTTGGCGCGGATCTTGAGCTTGCCACCCCGGTCCCCCGAAAGGCCCTATCTCTGCTACGACTGTGATGCCATCCTGGGCTTCAACCAGCTGGCGGCCGATGAGTGTCTGAAGGTGCATTGGATCGATCGGTGGCTGCCCGCCGGGGCGAGTGGGGGATCGGTGCCCGCCGGGCACTTGAGGGAGATTTTGCAGCAAAGTGATTTTGGCATCAGTGTCTTTTTGAGTACCTACAATAATTTTACAACAAGAGTACCTGGACTCTGCAACAGGTGTTTCCTGGTGACCGGTCTGGTGCCCAGGTTCACCACCTGGTGGTTGGGATCTTTTTCTTCTTCACCAGCTGGGACCCCCTTGGCGCGGTGAAAACCGCTCTCTTCCTCAGCCTCGACTCCTCGACTCCTCAGCCTCAGGGCGCTCGTTGCCCGGCGGAGCTGTTGTCCTTGCTGGCACGGCGAGACTTCATGTTCTCCTCGACCGACCTGCGCTGGTGGAACGTGAAGACCCCCGGTCGGCAGAGGTTCTCCTCGACGCACGTGCCGGTGTTTTTTTTTGGGGGGTTTGGGTGAACGCGAGTACGTGGGTGTGATGACGAGGTGCCGGTGGTTATGTCGCGTGGCTCTGCAAGAAATTGGTGGCACCGGCGAAAAGAGTCGTTTTTTCGAAGGAGGGACGTTCTACATGCTGGGCGGAGAACATGAGCAAGCACACGGGATCACGAAGACGTCCAGCCGGGCGGCCCTTTGGTCGTCCAACAGGATCTTACGCGACAAAACCAGATCCAAACGGACCAAAAAAACAGATCCAACGGACCAAAAAACCAGATCCAACGGACCAAACCAGGGGGGTACAGCTTGAAAACGGCGCCGTGACGTGATGTGGCGTGGAGTCGAGTCCGCACTCTGGACCAGTCGGTGAAGCTCGCAGACCGGTCGAGTGGCGAGGGAGTTGGGGAAAGAGCTGGAAGGATGGACATGTTAAGATATTCGCCTGGATGGACTTTTGGATGAGCATTTGGATGTCCAGATGATGTTGGATGGATTTTTGGATGAGCATTTGGATGAACACCCAACTTCCTGTTATGAACCTTTTCCAAGAGCCCAGATCGAGGTTTACGATTCTATGCCCACAAGTACACCCGGCGCTTCCCTTGGTCACCTGACATTCCAGCCCACAGCCAGCTGCCTGCCAGCTGACATACCAGAGCTTGGAAGAGCCAGTTGGGACACCCTGCATGGATTGCTAAGAGGTCTCTCGAACGCTTTGGTCCACCCCCTTTTCCAACCCACCCTAGGGATCCACTGGCACTTTCTGAGAAGGTAAGACTGAGCCCGACTGGCTGGCGCCCACATAAACAATCTCCAATTCTCTTCTCACAAGGTATGTGGATCCATAGGGCAAAGGGAGTTTTCCCACATCGCTCCGGACTCGGAGCTCCTCGCTCCTCGAGGAATGACTCGGCCCTGTTGATGCCGGGAGTGACGCACGCGCATCCCAAACCTACGCCCGAGTTCTTGAAGAAGGTGAAGGCCGGCTTGGGATTCCGCGCCCGTGAAAGGCGCTTGACATGCCCACACATGGTGGTTGACAGTTTAAACTTTGCCCTAAGAATCCGGACCCCTACGTTTTGAGGGTCCAGACCAGTGCCATGGAGGGCCCTTATCAATTTTTAGGCTTGTTGAATTCTGTGAGCCGGCAGTTCCATATTCCAGCACCTGACTCCACAGGTGCTTCCTGGTGACAAGTCCGGTGCCCAGGTTCACCACCTGTGGTCGGGTCTCCATCTCCAGCCGAACCTTGGAGGGTCCTGCTTGGGGGTGCTCACGACATCTGCTCACTGCCCGGCGGGACTATATACATCCATCACGAGTCTATATACGTCTAAAAGGGATCCATCCGGATCCGCTTGGAACGTTTGAAAGTCGCCTCCGTTTGGTTTGTCGAGAATCTCAGACACCACGAGTGTCTGAGAGGTGATCTTGCGGGGTGTCCCAAACCCACCGGGCTGAAGTCAGGTCCGAAAGTCAGGTCCCACTGTCCCACCATCTTCGTCGGAGCTTCGCTCCGAATTGGTCAGCTCCTTCAAGCCGAAGTCCTGGACGTTCTCCGATTTCGAAGCCCTGGCGTTTTCGACGATTCTTCAGTCATGGTCCAAGTCCCTGTCTTGGTCCATTTGGGTCCCGGAACTTCTCTTAAGAATCGTCGAACTGGACTTCTACCAGCACCCGATCTCGATTTCAAGGTCTCCGACATGGTGGCTGAAATGGTGACTTGTTGACTTCGCAGGTGGTGACCTGGCAGCGCCCCTTTCCTCTAAGACAAAAGATAGAGATCTCTTCCAACACCCTTACTGCCAGGTCACCTGTCTGTTTCGACCCAACTCCCAACCCTCCATGTCGCAGACCTTGTCATCGAGATCGCTGCTTGGTTCCGGTCGTCTGCAGACCCGTGGTGGGCCCGGCACTGCCCCGCTTCTGCCAGAAGCGGCCCGAAGAGGTGACGCCCGCGAGTCCGCCGAGCTACTTCCTGACCTTCCAGGGCACGCGGAACGTGGGCATGGAAGGACGGGGAGACGTCGCCGGGGTCCGGGCGGCGGTCCATATGAGCAGGCCATGTCTTGTCACATGGATGTATGGGAGGTCACATCGGTAAAAGGGCCATGGATGCAGGTATGGCGGAGTATCCGTATCCCTGTACCTTAAGGTACCCGCCGTTCCCTAGCTAGATCTTCCAACTCTGCAAGATGTTGGCCGAACTTGGCTAGTTTGATAGACGAAGTTCGGCAGATCAAAAATGGCACCCTGAGAAGAGGGAGCCAGACTTCGCGACCACGGGAGTTCGCGACTAAGCCCTTGGATGGAAGGAGGGGTCCGGGATCATGAAGCTGTACTGACGGGGCTCGTGATCCGTCTGAGCTGGTGTTTCCTTCTAGTGGAAGGGGGGCATCCCTTAGTGAGGAACGTACCACCACGACGGCTGAGAAACGGTACACAGAAAACGGAGGCCCCGTCCGAGTAACATATCGTCCAACAGAAAGAATGATCCGGAAGGAATCGCCCTTCGGTGATGCCGTTGATCGTCGTCCCAACATGTCTTTCACTTTCGCCCGTCTCCCGTCGAACGGAAGGGAGACTCCGCCGTCCACCGTCCGACCACGTGCTCCTTCGGGCCGTCGCGTGGCCAGGCAGCTCCTTTGTGAGGCTGAACCTGGAAGCAATGCTGAACTGTTCCAAGAAGCCACCCAAAGGAATGCGAGGACCGGTCGTTTTTTTCAAAGAGAGAGAGAGAGAGAGAGAGCCCCAAGATCCTCGTTGGTGTTTTGGGACACCCAAGACACACCAGCTAGGATGCCTGCTGTGGCTCCTCTTTTGGGCCGCTTTTGATTTGCAGGTCTCCAAGAATCTGTGTACGGACCCTCAAGTGGTCGCTCAAGTCATGATGGCCCAACCAAACCCGGATCCTGTTGGTTCCGGGTCTGGAGCCTGAGGAGGGAGAATGATCTATTTCGTCCTGGATTCCAACCACCAGGACATTCCCAGTGACCCTTTGAGATCTCAGAATGAGGTCACTTAAGTCTGTAAAGGGTACTTACCATTCCTGAAAAGGTCACTAGGAAGGTCCGGGTACAATTTGAATGGTCCTTCCGAACAACCATTGTTTTCACTACGAACTTGACACTACGAAACCAGATGATACCAGATGCTCCTTGACCCTTGGTCCTTCAAAATCTTCAAAAAGCCATCAGCAGCATCTTCAAAGGGGTCACCAATGGAACACCCCCTAAGGGACCTCCATTGAATCACCCTCTGGAAGGACCTTCAGGTCAAGGTTCGGCCCTGAGGAACTTGGGACCACCAAGGTCTGGGATCCCCAGGTCTCCGCCGTCACGGCTCGGCGTCTCAACTCTTTAGGACCGAAGGGCGAGTGGTATCCGCTGCCAGTGCCTTGGAGCGGGGCCCACGGGCCCACGGGCGCCGGGGGGGGTGACCCTTTCGCCGGAAGGTGCCGCAACCTGGGAGCAGGGCGTGGACCCCCCCTGGCTCGGTCCTGAAACCCCCCCAAGCTCGGTCTCCGGCTGGGAAGGACTGGTTGAAAGAATGGGAACGAGGTACTAAGGATGCCCTAGGGCTCCAACCACCTCCGTTTCGAAGGTGGTTGGGGTGGGTGCCAGGGGGGTCCAAACACCTTCTGAGGATCTGGGCGAGGAGCCCGGGATGAAACACTGTTCGGGGTCTTCCCACGCCAGTCACGCCAGTCCGGAGCACGAAGTCCGGACCCCTCACCCATCCCGAGTGGTGAACGGCTGAGGGGTTTGGAGGGGGAGGGAACATCGGCTCGTGACGAACGACGAACGGAACGACCCAGGAGAAGAACTACACGCCGCCGGAGGATGTCTTCATCGCCATTGGCCCGGAGGGGCTCTGGAAAGAACGGAGGCGGGGTCAGAAGTTGGGCGGGTCAAAGGTCCAATAGGACCAGCAGAGGTTGAAGAACCCTATAGACTGTCCTATAGGTACCCCTGTAGGGTCCTATAAGGTCAGTTAACCTCTGTAGGGAGGAAGGCCTTGGACGACAGACAGCATTGGTCGAAGGTCGAAGGTCTTGGTATTTGGGCAAGGCTCGGAACATCTGGTTGTGGGACGAAGGAACGTGGGTCCACCATGGACGAGCGTCCACCATGACCCAACATGGATCAGTCTCCATCCCGTCCTCAATCAGTCAAAGCATGGTTCAACCATTCTCCGACCCATCCCAACCCCATTTCTTCCCATGGACGGCCCTGATCATCGTCGGATCCGTCCCATCGCTGCTCGTGCCGCCCGTGCCTCCGGAACCGGGGGCCCTCCGGGGAGGCCCTACTGGCAGCTCTTCGATTCAGCCTATAGCCTGGTGCACCCGGTCGGGGGTCGCGGCGGTCCGTTCGAACGGGGCCGAGAGTGGGGGGTTTCCCCATGGGAAACCCGTGACGAGCCAGGCGCTTTTGGGCTTTGAGGGGCGTGAGTTGGACGTTTTTTGCAAGTTTGTGTGTGGGAGTTTTTGGTTTTGGTTTGGTGGGTTGTTGTAACAGCTTATAACTCTTTGGATTCTTAGCACTTCTTCAAACCGTAGAAGTCCAGTTCAACTACATTTTGCACAACCAAAGTACAGGAAATCCCTTTTCGGGCTATCCAGTCAGACCCTTTTTCAAACGGAATGCATTTTTTGTCATTTTTTGCTCATTTTCTACCTCTTCACGAAAGGTAGCTTGAGCTACCTGAGTTCTCCTTGCTTTAGCAAAAATGTATTACAATCAGGAGTTGGGATTGTGCATTGAGTTTGGTCCTGTAAGAGTTGGTTCTGTTCGTCGGGGGGGGGCCCCCCCCTGGATCAAATCCCCCCTGCGCCGGTTCACGCCGTCATGGACTTTTACCAGGGTTGCTTGTGATTGCCTGCTACCTTTCGTTCACCCCCTCCTCTCTCAAGTTTTATTGTACTACTATATCATGTTAGTTTTGGTTGTTGCTTGCTTGTGCTAAGAAGGCGTCAGCATGGCTATTCCCTTTGCATCTGCTGTTTGTGTGAAATAGTCACCAAAACACAGAAACAACAAACAAGTTCATGTCTCAGGGTCTGCCCCTCAGACATTGACTTGATTGTTTTTATTTGTTTTGCCAGCTTTCATTTTGTTGAAGACATATTGCTAATATATATATATATATCTACCTGGAGCCTGAGTGACCCCTGTTTTGGAGGATCAACTATCCAAAATAGGCTCTTTTCCTATCAAAACAAAGGTCAGTCAGGCTCTAGGTATACATATTAATTTTAGACTGATATTAAGAGGATTTTTAGATTTTCAACAATGCATGCCTCATCAATAGTCTTGGAAAGTCACTTACCTTGTAAAGTAATTGACTTGCCAAGTTTGTGCAATCTCTTGAACTCTATGCTCACCATATTCATTTTTTCTGTAATTGCTTTTCTTTTCATAGTTACTTTTACCCGGCCCTATCTCCCACTTGCTTGTATCGGTGGATGTCATTGGAACATTCTCATATACTCATCAGCTTTTTTTAAGAATCATACCATACAGCAATTGATCTTTTTGTCGAACAATTTGTGCCCCTCTCATACTTCAACAATGTAAAATGTGTAATCATTCATTTTGGTGACATCTTCATCTACAAAAGGCATCCACACATCGAACTGCAAAAAAACTGTATGCATTCCATTCGTGTTTTTCCCCAACAGCGAAGCTTTAGGAGTCTTCAGCCATAGTATAGACTTCGGAGCAGATCGGAGCAAGCTCTGGAGCAGGTTCCGCGAGTAGGTTCCGGAGCTGGTTCCGGAGCAGGTTGCGGAGCAGGGTCCAGAGCAGGTTCCGGAGCAGTGTCCGGAGGAAGGTTCCAGACAACGGGTTTGGAGGAAGGCTTCGGAGGAAGGTTGTGGGGGAAGGTGCCGAAGCCATTCCGGGAGAAAGCTGTCATGGCGCCAGGTTGGTGTGGTTGATGTGTTGTGTATATATAGAACAGATGCGTGGGTGAGGTGCTTCATGGCCATGGCCGCTGGAGTTATCGGCTCATGGAGGCCTTGAACGGAGAAGCCATCCCTGCGACTCGGAGGCAGGTTGGAGTGTGTGTGGAGGAAAGGAGGTTGGAGTGTTTCGAGAAGTTTTTTGGTAAAAGCAGGGGGGGATGTCAAATGTTTTGACAGTGGGACAACTTGTGGAAAACTGACTTGGGCAACACAGAATGATATCGTGGAACACTTGGTTCGAGATTGCTTTGTTGCTTGTGCATCACTGACCGCCACTCCGCAGGCGCCAGAAGCCTCAGGTGTTCATCGATGCAATCGGTGTGCTTCAGGTTTATCCGAAAAGTTAGTTAGAAGATACACTCCCGAAAACTAACATAGACCCTGACAATGGAGTCTTCCAAGGTGTAGGGGCGCCTGGAACATCCACTGACAAACCCTTCGCACATGGAACTGCTGGGGGGGCCAAGGTTCCTGGAATCTTGCGAGCTAGGCAAAGGAGGAAGGAAAAATGACCCAGGAATAGTCAGGAAACCATCGGGCCACGGTCCCCTTCCAGGCGATTGCGAGGGCCGACGGCCTCTGAGAGGGAGACTCGCTCCCGTTAGGCCACGCTTCAGCTGGCCAGCCGAGCGACCATGCATCGAAGCCTTCGGAAGAGTCGTATCTGGAGCCTGCTGTGCTTGACTTGGCTGGACTTTGCCTCTCCGTCTTCCCCACGTCTTCCGCCAACCGCGGTCCGTCACCCGCGTTCCCGGCCGCCGGGTTCCACCGGCCGAGGTGGTGATGGCGGAAGGCTGGACGCTGCCCTTTGACGAGCTCATCGACTGGGAGCAGATCGCCGTGCAAAGGTCGGATCGACCCGGTCTTCGGCCGCCGCGCGAGCGCGGTCGGTTCCGAGCGCTCCGAGCGTCCGGAGTCACGAGGGGTGGACGGGGTGGTGTGGCTCGTCCCATCCAGGGGCCATGGATGTGACGTTCGGCGCCCCTCAGCTTCCGACTGACCCTCCGTTCGGGGGGGGTGGAGTTTTGGTTTGGAACTTTGGGACGGAGGAGGTTGTTGGGAGTCCTGGCCGGTCGGGCGTAAGCGGGGATTTTGATGGATTTCATCCGGAACAGATGGGATTGAAATGGATTCAAGAGAGTTGGACTGAAGAACCAGTTGTTTTACTCGATCATGGAGCCTATGATTCCAGGTGGGAAGTGGTGGGTTCACGCAAATGCAAATGGATTCCATTGAAAGGGCCTTTTTTTGAATGGAAGATCACTCGTACAAGTTGGGGATTTGTCAAAAGGTCCTCCACGTGTTTCCCACCTGAACAGCCACAAGCTCTTCCAAAAGGCAACCTCGCAAGAGCACTAGAACACCTCAAACATCCAGTTCTCCCAACATCCAGTTCTCTTTCATACCCATCTTTCATCCCCCAACTCCGGAACCTCAAAGCAACCCCAAACTCCATCCCTCAACCCACACGACCACCCCTCAACCTCCCCCGTCTCGCCCGCCCACGCCCCGGGGCTCGGACCTCTGCGCCTGCGACGAGAAAGACCCCATCCGTCTGCGCACCCCGTCGCAGACGCGCCGACTCTCGTGGAGCGTTTGTGCCGAGGCCGGAGGCGCTGGGCTCCGACCCCGCGGCGCTGCTGGCCTCGCTGGAGCCGAGGAAAGAGGTCATCGCGCAGACCCGGCAGAACGCGCCGTGGCGACCGAGCAGCGGAGGGAGCTTCTGCCCATCTGGGCAGCACCTGACTCTGCTTGTTGAACATGGTCAACCTGTTGGAGGGTGAAATGGGTTAGAAGTCGCAGGTGATGACCTGGCAGTTTTCGGGTCCTGGTACACTCCCTGAAAGTATGGTTTCGTGGAGTGAGCACCACCAAAAGTTTGGGTATGTTTGGGTCTTCGGATTTTCAGGGTCTTCCACAATTAGGCAAAGTGTGTTCTCCATGTCATCATGATGATTTCAGGGAGTGTAGGTGAAATTGAGACCCGTTACATTGGGCTTCATCTATAGAGACCTGTTGGGAGGATGAAGAAGGGGCGACTCGTGTCGACTCACATCATTCAACGCACCATTGGTCGGGAGTCAGTTCGAGTACGGAGTCTGAAGCTCTCAACAAGAGAAAGATTCCTGTAGACCTGTTTGGGCTCCAACCACATCTGAAAAGGCTCGGTGGTTGGGGCGGGTGCCAGGGGGGGTCCCAAGTACCTTCCAAGGATGTGGGTGGAGCTTTTGGGGGGGAGTCGAGTTCTGCGATACAAATACCTCACGTTTCCTGAGCGTCCACATCAGCTTTTTCCACGTCCAGCTATTGGAGAAGCCACAACCCCAAAAACTCCCTTCGGACACACAAACGCTTGCTAAGTCCCCAACACATACGTTCAGTGATTTGCCTAGTTCGTAAGAATCCCCACATATGCCCACCACAAAGCCCACTGGAATTATCACATGACCCTCTCTCCCAAGAGGGAGGGTCAGATGGCCAGATCGCGCAGATGCTGAGGTGAAGGAAGTCTACCAGAAGCTTTTGGAGACGCAAGAGGCCCTACCAGCCAGACGCTCGGTTCGAGCGCGGTGTTTCGGTTTCGACGTTCGGGCCCCTGGAGACCCTTGAGAATCGTCGAACGATTCAGGCCCTAAAAGAGGAGGGCCCTCCAAATTCTAGATGCCTGAGGAGGTCAACATTTCTGCCGAACTTCATCTGATCCAGCCGTTCGTTCGGATCCGAACAAGACTTGCAGAACGTTGGACGATCCAGGTCGGAGTCTGAGTGGGGTGCCCAGTCAAGGCCAGTCCTGAGGTCCTGAGTTCTGAACCCGACGGTCCGGAGGATCGAAGCCAACGAAGCCTGGCAACGATGCTGGAAACCCAACGACTCGCACGTTCGCTCGCTTCCGGGTTTCTGTGGGTTCTGTCTTCTGGTTTGGTGAACGGTTCCCTCCAAACGGATTGCTTCGACCCCAGACCCCTGACCCGAGCATTGGCCGAGCGAACAGCTCGCGTGGGACCGAACCAGCCGAGCTCACTGGGGTTGGTCGTCGTCAGTGAAGACGCCCAGCGGGCCCAGCGGAGGAGGGGACTCCCATACAAGAAGAGCTACCAGCGACCTTATGAGGATCGTCCACCCGAAAGCAAAGGGTCGCTGGCTGAAGCCCTCGACGGATGCAGGCGCGGCTCACGTCGCTCCTGCGCTCGGCGGCCCTGTGGAAGCGCCAGTGGCAAGAGAAGGACCGGGGGGATCCGGAAGGCCCTTCCTCCCCGGTGCGTTCCCTTAAACGGACGACGGCAAGCTGGTTTGGGAGTTGAGAAGTACAGGGCATTGGCAAGCTGGTATGGTACATGGTATTGATTGACACCGAGGGGTCAAAGCACGTGTCAAAGCTGGTCGGAAGAACAGGAACGGACCTCACTTTGCTGGAGTGTATCATATCAAAAAGAACTACCAGCATCTACCAGCACCCGACTTCACAGGTGCTTCCTGGTGACAACAGGTGCCCTGGTACTCAATTTGCGGTTTTCAGGAGGTTTGGATCTGGGTCAAACTAGACCTGTAGGGATAGATGGCGTGCGCTACGGCCGTACGCTTGTTGATCTATAGGAAGGGGATACCCCCGGTTGAACAGCCAATATAGGTACCAGGACCCTCCAACAGGTCACCGCCCGTGACTTTTAACCGTCCGCATGTTCAGCCTCCATTTTTCGGAGTCGGAGACCTGTAGAAATTCGAGTCACGTGTGTGTACCTGGCATCGACTCCTCTATGACTCCCAAAAAGAATATCAAGTTCCTGGTGGGTCAACGCCAGACACCAGTCGGACTGGACGGAGGTCGTTGGACGGAGCTGGTCGTTGCCATCACACGCAGGAGGATGGGAACCATCCCGGAGAACCGGATGGATGTTCGAACAATTAGATGAAGGATGACATTGAAATAAGCAATCCACTTCGATGTTTTGTTTAATTCAATTTCTTTTTTTTGGGGGGGTGAGGGTTCTGTCGATTGTCGAGATGTTCTCCCGATCCACTCCTACAAGCCTTGTTTTGGCTGCTGCGACACACTTTTGGCATTGAAGGAGCTCTCTTCGCTTCGGATGCTGGTGGAAGAGATGCAGAAGAGAGGACAAAAAGAGTCCCTGGGAGTGAGTCTTGGGTGCCAAATAGGGTCCTTCACCTGTTCGCCACTGTCCCTATGACCCCGAAGCCGCGAACCTCGGAACCTGGACCCGTTTCGGTTCCGGGGGGCGGCCGGGCCGACCCCTTGGATCGATAGGCGGTGTTCGCGGTTGTTTTTTTCGCTTCGGAACCTCGGTCTTCTTTTCGTTTCGTTTTTGGGCGAAGGGCGAAGTGCTGGCAGAAGCTTTTCCCGCCAAGCCTGCTCAGCTTGGCTCGCGGATCCGAGTTCCATGGGATCCGATTCTTCTTCGAGGAAAAAGCAGGTGTAGACTCAGGGTGAAGGCGAAGAGAGTGGATTTTGTGTTCGCCCAAGGCGAACAGAGAGCACCATGGATTTGATGGGCTGATCATTGAAGAACCCTTAGTTGCTAAGGATTCACTACAAACCCGGTCTCTCCCCACAAATGAATCTGTCCAGGCAGGGGCGGGGCTCTCGTCCTCCATCCTCCTACTCGGTCTCCGTCCGACTTGGTCAGACTCGAGCTGCACCAAGCGTTCAAGACGTTGATCCCAGCCTTCACCGCGAAGTGCCACGGTGTGAAGCTGCCAGGAAAGACGGAAAGGGGATGAGCTGGTTGGTTTGTAGAATGGGAGAAGGGGAGAAGTCTGCTTGTGGGAGATGCCACGGAGACCGGACTGGAGACCTACCGCCCCGACTCAGTTCGGGTCAGCCATGGTTCGACCGACCTGTGTTAGGGCCCTTCCCGCCCTTCCCAAGCCTCAAATCGAGCAGACCTGCAATGGTTAGGCCATGTGCTGGTTTAGGCCAATGCGCACTTCCAGGATTGTTGGAGTGAGGGGACCCAATCCAAGATATGGCACGGCGCATCCGAAGAGTTCCGACGGGCGGCCCAGATGCGAGGGGCGGTACCCTCTGTTTCATCTCTACCAGGACCTTCCAACATGGGTTTTTGGACATCCCGAATCACCTCCAAGAGGCTATTTATAGACCTCTTGAGGGTGCTGGTAGGTGTTGAGGGACCGGGAGGTCGGCCTGTGAACAGAGCGTAGCTCTGGTGGTTACAGTAAGTGGCTTCCTTGTGCCAGTGGTGCAACCAACGACCATGGGTGAAAACACCAACACCGTTTGGATCTTGGCATTTGTTGAGGACACTAATAAGCAAAGACGAGGATAATGATCATGGGACACGGTCAAGAAGCCAGTGGGTGTGAAGGAAAGAGCCACGAGTTTTTTCACTGCAAGCGGCTTAGCAGAGTTTCCTGCGGGCAGGTGCTCGCCCGTGACTCACCCAGGCAAATCACTGACTATTACAAGGAGTTGGTGAAAGGCGTCCTTTGGGGGCGATGGTGGAATGAGCGAGAACCGAACCTTCGACTGGCCCAGGGACGAGGAACTTTCACTTTTTGATGGGTTCAGGCGAACACATTGGTGAGTGTGTGAAGTGGCAGGAAAAGTCCAGGCAAAAGGAGTCCGGGTCCAGGAAATTCCCTAAGACTTACTTTCACCACCCCTCAAATCCCCTGTAGACATGACTCCAACTAAGCGCCTCGCTGCTTCACTGCCAACATGGGCCGTGTCAGACGCGAGCCCGTGTCGCGTTTGTACATGTACACCAAAAAGATCGTACCAGTACCCTCCAATAGGTCGCCTCTGGTGGCTTTTGGAGACTTAAAAGTGGCAGGCAGTGACCTACACCAAACTTTGCCATAAGAACATTATATACGTCGTTGAAAAGCACTCCCTACGGGTCAACGACCTCATTACACTGCACGTCATCATACAAAAACACTACTCAATTTCTGTCTTTTTTCAGCACCAGGATCCGCAGGTCATCCTGGACGTACGTAGGGTTGCATTGTTGGAGCAGCACCGTTCTTTGCTTCCAACGGGTCATCCGCTTTTGCCATCGGACCCCGTAGGACAAATCCTTCAGCGCCGGGAGAACCGTCGTTGGGAACCGGAGATCTTCGTCCCGTTCACCGGGTGCAGTGCGGGTCGAGCGTCGGAGTCTCTGGTCGCACTGGGTCGACCCAGCGACCTGGTCGCGCAGACGCGCGGTTTTCTGGATCAGCCGCGAGGAGTTGAAGCGGTGCCGACCGAGCTGGTTTGGTCAAAATCCTTAGTATAAACATGTATAAACAAATGGATACACATGGTGTTTGGGTTAAAAAAAACAATTCAATCAATAGCGCTTGGAATCCTAAAGAGATGCTTTTTCGCTGGCTTTTCCCAGGCAACGATGGGGCGGCCGTGTCACGAGAAGAGCTCCTCGGCAGGAGAAGTTTACGCAGGAGAAAGTGTCGAAAGCGCAGAGACGGATCCCTATCGAAATACAGCATTGATTTCATGCTTTTTTAAATGCCTTTGCCGAACCACCTTGAGAAAAAGCTTCGTCCGTTCGTGAACAGACTTTGGTCATAGAAAGATCCTATTTCACCACTCTACGTATACTAGCATGACTCATGACCAACCAAGGTCGGTGCCACTGAACCACTCTTCTGTTCGGCTTTCTGAATGATAAACACCTTCTTTACTTTTGAACATGACGTCGTTGAGTCGACCTCTTTTCTTTCGGGGGATTAAATGGGCCCACCGTGGTCTCTTTTTTATACTCGTCCTCGTACTCACCGAAGAACCTGCCATGGTTTTTTACAGCAGGGTCGGTCTTCTCCGTTTGGACTCGGCGCAGGTCGTTCCTTGGCCTGAGGTCGGTGGGACTCCTTTCCCCGACAGCTCACGGGTGAGGTGTGGAAGAGTAGGCAGACCATGGGATTTGAATGGGTTTCACGGATACAACTGGGTTTCACTCCTGGTGGTTCTGGGACCTCGCAGTGAAAACACGTGGTTCTTTGAAAAGGCATGGTTCTGTGGTCTTCATGGATGGACCATGGATGGATGGCTGGGTTCCTCCGAGGTTCTGCGAGTGGATCCTCAAAGGGGGTGGCATCGCTGAGACCGCCCGGACCGCCCGGAGGGGGCGGAGGGGGCGGGCATTTGGGGAGCGGATCGGAGGTTCCGTGAGGGTTTCCGTGGGTTTCAGAGGCAGAGGGTTGAAAACGGAACATGGCGGTGGATGTTTTTCATTTTTTTTTTAAAACTAACTAGTTCTCTCTGATTAGATGTTTTGCTTGGGGATTAGGTTCACACCACTGCCTTCGTTCGGTTGGATCCGTTCGTTGGTGTTTCGGACGGGCAGAGATCGACGCTCGGGACGGGCGTGGCATCTACTCCTCGGTGGTGAAGGTCCAGGTGTATGATAGTGTGCGCGATGTATTCCCCCTGAGTCGAAAGGGGCCCGTGGCCTTTTCACCCACGACACGACCGCGCAGGTCTCGTCTGAAGGTCTTCGGACTCGGTCTCGAGTCCACAGAGTCCCGGTCTCGAGTCCACATGGTCCCTACTCCGGCCCGGTCGTGGTGGATCATGAACCTGCCGACAGATGACTGCCATGACATCGGAGAACAACCATATGCATTTGCCATATTCTTCCTTGGCAAGAGCTTCTGGCAACCAAAACCTGGCATCAAGACCTGACATCCTTTCTGGCATTCTATTTGGATCTATCTTTCCAGGTGGGGCTTTCCAGCCAAACGGATTCTTCTTCTGCCTCTGCAGCTCCTGGGTGGGCCTGGAGCAACATGCCTGGGCGTTCATCGGCCCAGGTGTTCAAGGCTCTCATGAAGGAAACCAGCGACGTGACTGGGTCGCCCCGAGTATTCGCCGAGTGTGTTCGCTTCTTCCCAAGTAGACAGCCGAGTTGGCTGGCGGTTTGGTTAGTGCTGGCGGTCGCTGTTAAACGAACTGGGGTCAATCCTCAAACCGTCTGGGGAAGATAGTTACTTAATTTGCTCTTGGTTTCTCAAGCAAATCCCAGCTCAACACCAGCCGGCTTAGGGTCCGGTGGTCAAGCTAGCAGGGGCGTAAATGTGGGGGGATGTGGATGGTTGAGGTATGGGCATATCTTTATGGTTTGTAAGGTAGGGACTCCTGACACCTATTTCGTGCCTGCACGAGCGCCACTGATTGAAGAATGAATCTTTCACGTCCCTTGGTTCTTTGGGACAATCACTTGGCTGGTGGACATTGACCATGGAAGAGTGCCCACAGGAAAGAACATCAACATTTGGGCCATGGGCCACATTGAAGCATGCTTCGCTTGTTGTTCGTTCGAAATCCGGATTGAGCCGCTCTCGAGTATTTTTCATCTGTCGGAGGAGTCTGTTGTGCGAACAAGGCATCACCAGACTTCAATCTCCTCTTTTCAAGCTCAGGAGATCATTTTCTTACAAACTACCCAATGGACCCTCTAAAGTTAGAAGGAACCGGGTTGCATAGAACCTGTTCAAGGAACCAACCCTGCTGTTAAAGGATTTCTTCTGCGCGATGTCTAGACTAGACCGCTCCAGGGAGCGCCCTGTCGGTCAGGGACCGTTGGAGCAGGAGAAAGTGATGGAAGAACTCTTTCCTCTACAAACAGCTATGATTCTATGATGATGGAAGAGAGTGTATGCTTGATCTCGTACCAATGTTCACTCATGTTCTGAGTACCAACTGTCTAAAGACCTTGCAGCATGTTCTCCTCTCCTCACAGCATCGACCGGGCGGAATCAGGTGCTCGCCACCAGTGTGAGAGAGGCGGATGGGCAAAACGACGAGTCGGCGAGAGGGTGGTTGGGCTCTGTAGGTGAGAGGGTTTGAGAGGCTTGGTGGACTGGGTCAACTGGTGGTTGGGTTGGTGGTTCACCCTCTCAAACCACCCTCTCAAACCCTCTAATGAGAGGGTATACTGGTGGTTTGCAAGATGGCTCCAGTTTTCATCGAGTGGGTGTGGCCTTGGAGGAAGGCCGCTGACGCAGGTGTCAAGCTGGGTCTCGACCAAAAGCAACACCTATAATATCTAGGTCTAGCAGTCTAGCTCTTGGTATGGTCTCATCATCTAGCAGTATTGTCATCACATCAACATCCTCATCTCACCAGCTGCAACTATCTACGTGCAACGAATCCATCCACATCGGATTCCAACATCAACATCCTTGGATTCATTTTCCGAAGAACCAGCGTCCTTGAGGTGTCAAGGCTTCGACGCTTAAACCACACCACACCACCGTCCCGCGACCGGTCGAAGAAGGACGCGGGTGTTTTTGGATGGGAACGACCTGGTCACCCCCGGTTAACATAGGTTAAAACCAGCTCTGGTTCTTCGGTGATATCAGGCCTAGCAAGATTCATGGCGGGGCCTTTGGACCTCCCAAAGGTGTGAGCTCAGCAAGCTCCCGGTGCGGTGCTCTTCACCGGCGGGCGCGAGATTCGCATCAGGTGTTCGCGCGGTTCGACGTCAGTGGAGATGGGAAGCTGGACATGAGGGAGCTATGGAGGCCCAAACCGACGACAAACGACGAACGCCGAAGCCGTTGCGGTGGCGTTTTGGGAAATAAAGAGCAGCCGCCACAAGTCCATGAGCTGAGCTGTTAGTCCTGTTTGTTTGGTCCTGCAAACCGAAGATTGAGTCGTCGTTGGTCTGATCAAGTCCAGTAAAAAGAGGTCCAACTGACCTGTATGGGGTAATTCTTGGCTCCTCCCCCCTCCCCCTTCCCCATGTCCATGTCCAGTCGCACTTGTTCCATGTACATCGGCTCTTTTCTCGTTCCCAACAACGGCACATAACGCACACGCCGTTCACGCCGTTCACGCCGTTCGTTCACGCGGCACGGTCCGTCCGTCCAGGGTCTTCAAGAGCTTGGACGGACGCCTCCGGCTCCGAGACCTGGCGGCTCTCAGAGACCTGGCGGCACCGAATGGGAACGTCGCCGGTGCGGGTCGAAACCGCTGGTCGGGTCGTCCGTTCATGGGATACCCTTTTGGTTGTTGGAAAAGGCGGCGATCCGTGTCTCCTGAGGTAAGTGGAACCAGCAATGACACAGATTCCCCTACTCCGCCAATGGGACATGGCATTTTTGATCCACATTTGGGGTGGTTTTGGGGTCCATGTAGGCACATACCTAGCAGCAGTTGTCCTATACATGGAGTCTCTGGGATTGCACAATCTCAATAAGAGTGGTTTCGAAACCTGTTCTTCTGCGGTGCGTGCGGCTCCGTGCTCCACGGTCTGCGTGGTGTTCAAACGGTCTGCGCCCGGTCCAACTCGTCCAGAACTATGGGGGAACTGTGGCCCGGTCCGCTTGGTCCGCCTTCTCTCCATCGTGTGGTATATATGTGGACAGTCCGACCCTGGAGGGTTGCTGAGGGTTGGGTCATAGCCACTAGACCCGAATCACTCTATAGTGCGAAGGTCCCAGTTCGGCTGCGAGAGTTTCCCGGTGGCACCGCGCGCGGCGGTTCCGCCGATCGGTTCCACCGGTGGAACCCGGGCGCGCGGTTTAACGCGCTTCCGCTGAGGCCAGGAACTGGACACTGGAGGTGATGGCACTGTGGCTTGGAGGAACGAGACGTCCAAAGCTCCGAGGTGATTCGAGGAGTTGTAAAAGGAGTACTGCACCTGCCACGAAACACGAAAAACACAAAAAAATCCCAAAACAAAACACAAAAATCCTAAATTAAATCCGAGCCATTTGTAAAACCCCGACTTGAAGAAAGGTGTCAAGGAAAAGAGCGAAGTGATTCGGGGTGTCCCAAAACCCACCGACCTGCTTGGTCCAGGCGGTCGTCAGACCGTTCTAAAACTAGTCGACTGGACATAGTAGGGGTTCCATGTCGGAAGTGTTTGGCTCGTCCCCTCCAGTGAATTGTGACAGGGGCACCCCTACCCCCCAAGTTCGACCTTTTTTTGGGGGGGGGGGCTTTCAAGACCGAGGTATTTTTCGGTGTGATCCTAAGTGAGCCCAGCCCCCCCGTGACGGAGACGGAGACGGAGACTCGGTCACGGCAGCTCGGGGCAATCGCCCGGTCACGAGCGCGCCCAGCAACCAGTAGAGGTGGTTCGAGGGAAGAGGTTTTTTTCAGCATGCAGTTTGATGGAATGGACTTGAGTTCAGCCAGTTCAGATTGGTGGTCAGCTGCGCGAAGAACTTGTAATCCAAGAGCGTTTGAAAGGATGAACTCTGTCTCATGTTGACAAGGCTGTCGATGTTAGACATCGGGCGAGAATTATGAGGTCTCTTGTCTTTCATCTTTCATGTTTACCAACGCCTGAGAAAAGGGCGTCCACACCAACGCCTGATTAGGTAGAATGCTGTTGGGTTGCATGGTAGTGGTGGTGGTGATGATGGTGATGATGATGATGATGATGATGGTGGTCACAGATTCCTCCCACGAATGTCTGAGTGTCTGGGTGGTTCAAAGTGCCGGATGTCCATCAACAGCCCTAGCCTTGCCGAAACCCAGAAGACCATTCAAAAGAGTTGACCTGGTTTTTATAGTACATTGATTTAGTAAAGCAATGCTTATGGATGCTTAAGGCTTGCTTGGTAAAGACCATGAACACACCTGGTTTTCATAGAGCAAAGTAGAGTCGTAAAACCAATGCAGTCGGGCGACCGGACGCCGAGGCAACCGGGGACAGCCCCCCATCCCTGCTCCCTGCGTCCGAAAACAACATTGATCCCTAGGCTTCCAACCACCATTGATTTCATCACGGCTTTTTTCACTACAAAAACCAGGTCAATTTTTAAATGGTCTTGGAAGTCTAGGGGTCTGGGGTCTTAAATTCTTAGGTCTTGAGAGACCGGTCGGGTTGCTCCTCTCATCTTGGCGCCTGTTTGGAGCGCCCAGCAGTCCGAAACAGGCGTTGAGTGGTGTCGCCGGTGTCCCTTGATCTCTCCAATCCCGTCTCTGAAAAGCACCCAAAGCTGGGTCCCGGGACAAACAGTTCCAACCAACTATATGGAATTTTTGAGCACCATCCAGTGAATGGTGCCAGTAGGCACCCCCTTACCCTCCAGGTTCGGCACCTTTTTGGAACTGCTGGTAGGCATGCCCGGCATGTCCCCCGTCCGAGCGCCATGGGGTGTTTCGACGTCCGGGTGCCTTACCGGGACGTCGAGGTCTCCGTGAGGGAGTTTCTCCAGTGGCTGCGGCACGGCTCCGAACGCGCGTCGGCCCTGGCACGTGTGTGCCTTGGCACGGTGAGCTGGCCGCTGGGGCGCGGGGTGAGCTGGGCCACCGTGCGGAGTGGGCCTGCCCCAGGCCGTTGGAGTGGGCATGTATACCTGCACACGTCCGGGGTCGACTGAACGACTTCACCTGGGAGTCCTCCAGTCCCCGTAGCCGCCGGCCTCGTATGGGGGGTATTTCCACGAGTCATGACTGGACGGACCAGGATTTCATGGCGGTTCCTGGCAGTGCGGAGTGCAGGGGTTCGCGGCAGGCACAGCACTGGAAAGTGCACTTTGAAGGCGAAAAGTGCAGATGTACTATATTTGGTGTAGGTGCGCTCTTGCGTGTGTGCTGTCATGCAGTAGCTCCCTGCTTAGCAGTGTCTACTTTGTAGTCCAAGGTGGGACTCTGAACTTGGCACTTCGGTTACTGCTCTCATGCGTGGAGTGGCCGACCTCGGAAGCGACCACTTTGTTTCGAGCCAGTGGCGCAGGGTGGTAGCGAAATGCTTTGCCATGCGGTGTGGCTTCCATCTGGGAACGGGAAGCATGCATGCGGGGTCACGCGGCGTGTCGTGGTGCGATTGGTGGGGTCGATCATGCCGCCAACTGTGATGCACCAAACTCTGGTCGATTTTGGGATAGGTCAGGGTTGTTACAAGAATCCTTTTTGAAATTTCAGCCCCCGCCGCTTCCCCGTTACTACTGATAAGTGCGCTTTGATATGTGTGCGCTCATGTGCTTGTGTGTGCTCTCATTTGTGCCATCTAACAGTTCTAACATATGTGTGCTCGCATTTGCTCTCACATGCGTGCTCTTATTTGTTTCCTCTTATGTGATGTGCGTCCTCTCATGTGTGCGTGTGCGTGTTCTGGTATGTGTGCTCTCGTATGTGTATTTTCATTTATTTTCATATGTGTGCTTTGTAATCTGGATAAACTCCTGTTTGGGGTTCTGGCCGGGATATATATATATAATGCTTTACTAAAAAGTACCGATCTTTTCTGGTGTAGGTCTTGAGGTGAGGAAGCTCTAGTCTTTTTTGGACATTTTAACCAGTTGTTTGCTGGGTTCTCACGGGTGATCTGCATGCATGTCGCAAAAAGAGAAAGGAAGGTGCCAGAAAAAAAGAAAGAACACTGCTGGATATATGAATTTGATTGAATTTGTCTAGTGGGTGTTGGTCCCTCATCATTAGAACCTCGGTTTTCTACCGCCGAGCCACTTTTTGTTAGTATTTTTTCCATGCACAGTCCTGGCACGTCCTGACCAAAGAAACGCCGTGGCCCTTGCGCCAAGGATTGTCAAAGAAACAGGCGCGTGGAGAGATTCGCCGGGTGAGATCGGGGAACCAAACACCTTCGTGGGGAACCAAGACAAGACCCCGAAAGATCCAGCCTCAACTCGGTGTAGCTTGGCGGAGGGTAGGCAAGAGTTGGCTGGCGCTGTTTCTCACGAGGCGAGGCTGGTGCTGAGGAAACTGGACCCTTTGGTGAGCACTTGAATGTCAGGAGAAACTCGAACTTCATTTTCGAGGTGCCACAAGTTGCCAACAAGGTGTCACGACCCAACAAAATGGTGTATGCCCAAGTCGAAAAACCTTGGGATTTTCTTCATGGTTCAATCATCCGTCTGCCAGAAACTGGTGGCTTTCTCATCCTGGAATCCCCATCGATTTTGCCTTGGCCAGGGTACCTGTTGAACCAGCCATGGCCGTCCACGGACATACGACTCACGACTGTGCCCTGCACGAACGTCAGGGAAAGCGCGTGAAGTCCGAATCCGCAATGTGCCTTCGGCGGATGTCTGTGGCTCTGGGAAGATGGAGAGCCCCGTTTTGGGGGCACTTTCGGGTACGGTATGGACTCGAAGTTGGGCGCAAGACGCGCCAGGTCCGCCTCGGTCCGCCAGGTTCTCGGACCGAGGATCTCTTTTTGGGTACTTGAAGTGTCCAGGTCCGACCGAGTCGCAGGTAGTTCTCGGACGGAGAACATGGACCCTAGATGAGCCTTGGACCATATATTTTCGGGTACGTCCGTGGTCCCTAAGTCGTCGTCGCGGCACGGTTAAACCAAGACTACGTCCTACGGTACGCGCGGGCCATCTACGAACTTCGATCGACGGAAGCTATATCGTTTGGACCGAAGCCACCTACCAGGACCATTCGACCATCGGGGTGTCCTGGCTGGACTACCCCACACTACCGGCCTAGGCTTCCAGACAAGGCACCCCAAGAGGATGGTCCAGGTATCTAAAACGACCGTCAGATCCCACGGATCAGCGGAAGGACTCGTTCATCCCACCGGGGGTCCAGAACCGCCCCTGAACCGTCGCCGTCGCGTGGCCGTCACCGACGAAAGACGACGGTAGGCCGGCAGGATTCGTGGCCAAGCCGGTTGAATGGCCTTTTCATCCCAAAGAACTACCAGGTCAACCATTCCTTTTTCGTGGAACTGACCCTTGACTGAAGATGGTCACACAAAACCAATACTTAAGGAGGTCAAAGACCAGGAGGTCCAGTCGACCAGGTTTTACTGGGTCAGACTGGACGTTAGCGGCCTATCTAGCGTGCGGTCCTCCGCCGAACGCACCCGCGCACGAACGCCAATGGCGGCGGGTGGTCGGTCTGCGGCCGATGCAGCCTCCCAAGGCCTTCCAGAAATACGACGCCACGGGAGATGGGGTCTTAGATATCGAAGAGTTGGCCACCACGCTCAAGGCGAGGGGGGGTCCGACGGGTTTGCTCCACAACGGACCGGTTCGGGGGCAAGGCGTGTTGGTGGTTTGGAAGGGCTTTTACGTGGCTGTGAGGATGAGGGAAAGTGGGGTACTGTGTTGGGTTGGGAAGTTTGGGGAGTTCCGGAGGAAGACGGAGTTCTGCGGAAGATGTAGCTTTATAGTTTTGACACTTTGTCTGTTTTGCTTGAAGCGGACACCCTGTACAGCCATCCATGCCGAACGCAAAGATGCGTTCCTGTCGGTCAGGTTCTACCGGCAAGGAAGTCAACCACCAAAGATCTGGAGCACGAACACCGCGATTGCCTTGCGGATCAAACCGGCCATGATTCACAATCAAATGCCAGCACCCTCCTGGCCAGGCTGTTAGTTGAGGGTTGTTGGACCCTGTCTCAGGTCGAACCATTGGTGCCCTGTCGGAGGGTCCTGGTAGATGTCCAGTGACAGATGATGTTTGTCACTACCGAAGTGTTCAGGACATTCCTGGACCAAAGGATCAGCGATCATGTTGTGTGTCCATGTTTTGTGTCGGGTTTGGATGAGCCGCCCGAAACTCGCAGGGGCATATACCAAGGTTCACCTGGTGTTTTTGCCGTCCTGGAATCCTCAAAAAGAAGTGGAGCTCACCACCTATTTCTAGAGGAACAGATGGAAAATTCAGGGATCTCATGCCCATGCCGATGCCGGATCTCATGGATAGCCCGGCCCTTTTTTTGGGATTTGAGGGTCTGAACTGAACGAAAGGACACCCCGAACAAAGCCGTTTCACCGAGCTTCGACCCATGAGTTCAGAGTTTGGTCCCTCGCAAAAAGGACCCGGTGCTTTTTTGTCAACTCCTTAGTAGAACAAGGGTTGTTCAGGATATTTTGGCTGTAAACAAATGGTGGGCTCGGAATCCTGGTCACCTTTGTTGGTGTTTGTACTTTTTCACGCTTTGCCAACTGTGGGCTGAATTGTGAACCCGACCTGGCAGGTCAGAGTGGTCTCTCCACGAGAGACCACATGAAACAACCTCAGGGGCAAAGCCGAGAGTGTACATGGTTGGGAACACAAATGATCTTAAATTCTCAGCGTTCGTGCCAAAAGCCACCTCCAAAAAGGTGTGACGGATTCCTGGCCCAGCATTGTTTTAAGGGTCTGAATCCCAAAGCACCATGGTTTTACGAAGGAGTTTAGACTTCAAAAACAGGTCAACTTTGAAGGCCGTCTCCCTATTGGGTGTGTATTTCAATAGGGAGATCTCCAACATTCTCCAACCAACGTGTTGTCTTTTTTGTCTATTTTCCTTCTTCCAGGGGATCAAACAGCGGGGGTCTCCCTATTTTAATACACACCCATCTCGCTCCAAGAGTGGCTGAATGGTACGCCCGTCATATTGGATGAATGGTAAGCCCAGCCTCGATTGATCCGCTCGATCGTCGATGCGGCCGTTGATGGCAAAGATTTTTGCCAAAAATCAGCCACAACTGCACACAGCTTGTTGGGGGTGCCATGGTAGCTCGATGCATCAGACTCATCAGACCCCCAGGACCCCCCAGACTGGTCACTTACTCAAGCACTCCACGTCAGCTCTCAAGAACCGGGGACAGGTCTTGGGGAGCTTTTCCTCCGATGAGATCAAGCATGTCCGTGCCTGGGCTGCTTTTTGGATCGCGCATGGCGCACGGATGGAGGCGAATTCATCGAAAAACCACCTCGTTGGACGGAGGATTTAACACTTCTATCTTCTCCTAAGAATCCGGACCTTAACCAGGAAGGACTTGGAGGGGCGTTCATTTTTGACCCCTCCTGGAGGGTCCAAGGATCCTTAGGGCGAGAAAGACGACCTCAGCGAGCTGATCCTGTGCGTTTTAAAAACACAATGGACAACCTTGGACATTGGACACCTTGGACGATGCACTCCTTGTTCCGATAACACAACCAAATGAGAGGTCATGCACTGAACATGGGCTCTGTCAGCATAGTCGACCTTTTCATAGCAACTGGTCATCCAACGCTTGAGCTCCTTCGGAGACGACAACAAGCGGTGCTTGGTGCTTGGGCTTGGAATTCAGATCGCAGGGAGGTCCATCCCAGCTCAGCTCAGCACGGTGTGGCCATGGGAGACCGTGGGTGTGTAGCTCAGACCATGAGAGACCGGAGACCTAGACACTTCGACTCCGAAACGAGACGTTGGACCAGTCCAGCGGGATGTCGGGTGTCTCTCCCTTCTGTGGGGGACGGTGACCGGTGGCGGAGGACCAGTGACCGGTGACGTGAAGATACACTCGGCGGCCGATGTCGGCACCTGATGCTCCCTTCAGGAGCTTCCATGTCTATTGTTGCCTCGTAAAGAGGTGAGGAACGGGGTGTCCCAACAAGCACCGGAGACGGTGTTTACGGGTTCAGTCCTGGTGGATCGACGGATTTTGAGTCTTGGGACGGCACCCAGGTTGGAAGCTGAAGACTCGGCGGTCTCGGCCGTGGTTCCTCCAAGAATACCTGGACCTTCAAGGGGTGTCCAATGCAGGTCCCCTAGTAGTGTAGGGACTTCCATTGGTGACCCCTTTGAAGGTGCTGGTAGGATGTGTTGGTTGCGAAGATCGTGGTGATTGCTGAAGATGCCTTCGATGCCTTCGAGTCAGTTAAGATAAACATGGTGGTTTTTGCTCACCCCAACTTCGGAGAATCGGCCCAGTGAAGGTATCAGCCTAACGAGAGTTTCGCGATAGAAATCCCATGACATCCCTTTTTGTTGGGTTGGGTAGATTTTCAGCATGCAGAAGCCACGGATGCTTTGCACATGGGATACTTCGCTTCTGGGCCGCTCGAAATGGTTTTTGCAGTAAAACCACATGTTTGTTTGGGATTCAGTCCAATCAAATGGCCAAAGGACTCCCTGTCAGAATGGTCACAGTTCAATGGACTTCTTCAACTCCTGAAATCACCTCTTTCTTCGGGGTTTTCCGCATATAGACATATAGACACCCGGTTCAACCGAAAAGGTCCCCGTGATGCCCCCGGTCGTTCGCCCGAACGAAGACGGCGAACTCGTTCGGCGTTCGGCGTCCTCTTCCCTCGAGGCGCCGACCTGGACCGCAGTGGCGATGGTAGCGTGAGCTTTGACGAGCCACTGGGACGAAGACGAAGGACAGTTCGGTGGAGGTGGGTGGTTTTCGGGAGAAGATGGACCGTGCTTGGCAGCCTCTGAAAATGCGTGGGCCCAAAGGAAATCCCATGTTAAGTCAAGAATTCTTCATATTTGGAAGAATCCCAGACCATCCATGGGACTGAACATGTATAGGTATACATAATGTTTGATAAGTGGGATCTACCAACAGTGCATTTTTTTTTTACTTGACTTTTTATCTATACAACTATTATACAACCAGCCAAGTGAGGTATAGATTTTCCCATAGTTGGATGATCCAGCCTGATCCAGCTGTACATTCGAACCTGATCCATCCATGGTGTGCGGTGGTGGCGTACTGCAGTCCGATGGTCTGGGATAGTCTGGTCGGATGCCCCCGGGGTGGCGAGACGAGTGGCGCACCGGAGCAACGGGGCCGCTCTGGCAGGTTTGGAACTCACCAACAGAAGTGGAAGGACCCTATACCAGCACCCGACTCTACAGGTCACCAATTGAAACCTTTTAGAGCCTAACAAACCTCCATTTCGGAGACCTGTAGAGTCGGGTGCTGGATAGACTACGCCATAGGCACCTAGGTTACGGGTTCTTTTTCAGGTCACCGGTCACCTCTCTTGGTGTTCGACGAAGCCTGGTCCATGAGTTCGGGATCGGAACTCTGCCGCGGGCTGGTGCGCGTCTGGACGCTGAAGAGAGTGGAGCGCGCTCGCCTTTTCGGGGCCCCAGACTGGCCTCTGAAGCGGTCGTCTGGGGGTTTCTCACCAATCCCTGGGGCTTTTCCAATACGGGAGGTTGGGCTGTGGGTATATAGAGCCATTGTCAAACCTTCGGACCTCAGAATGCACAAACCACATGTGAGCAGGGCCCCCCCAGTCTTGGTGAAGGCTGCTTGTCTTGGTGAAGGCAGCAAAACCACCAGTTTTGGATTGAAGACATGAGCATCCGAAACCAGCAAATTTCATGAGCGGGCGCTGACGATGAGACTATCGCCTTTTGCTTTGATTGTTCGAGTCTACCCTGACAAAGCGCCTTTTTCTTTCCTGTCCCCAACACCTCCCCAACATCCACCGACCGACCTCCCGTCCGCCACAGGTTCTCCACGTGGATCAAGTGCGGGAAGGGCCGTCGCGAGGTGCTGAAGGCCAAAGCAATCTTGGCACCCTCAGCCGCTGGGATCACACGGCGAACGTCGTCCCGTCGGTAGATCATCCAGTCTACGGCGCGGCTTTTTGGGGGTGCCAGAGGTCTGAACACTGAGGATACCAGCGCCTGACGCGAAGAAGGGTCTCCGATATGTTGAAGTGGTAGGTGGTGACCTAGCAATGAGGGTGCTGGTAGGTGTCTTGACACCAAAGTCTCAATTGCTTCCTACCTGGACCCCTCCAAGATTGGTGGGACGTGGAACGTGTGTCCGTTCGTCCGGTGCGGTGAAAAGCACCGGTTGGGTCTCCAAACAGCCGAGCCGAAGCGAAGCGAAGGGTCCTGGTAGGGACAGTTTGATCACGAGCTCTTCTGGTCGGGACGAAGAAGAGAACACAAAACTATATACAGTATCTACAAATTATATACCAGCACCCGACTCTACAGGTCTCCGAAATGGAGGGTTGGGAAAGGCCCGAAAACAGGTTTCAATTGACCTGTAAATATGACGCATGTTCGTTTTGTGCATGTCTTGAAGTGAATGTCTGAATCATCTCAATCGACACCGTCCCTTCCACTGCGGACCCAGCCCTTCGACTCTTCCGGGTCCGCCAAACCGCTGCACGGCTCCGCCTTTCGGAGACCGGGCAGAAGGTGAGAGGGTCCGAGCTTCTCGTTTCCGAGTGGAGAAGAGTCCCTTTTCTATGTGGATTTTTGGATTTGTCCTGCCCAGACGCGAAGTCTGGACCCTCCGTGAAAAGGAGGGGCCGGACCCGAATTCTATGGAGGGGTCCGGACCAGGGTTTTGAGGGACCAAGGCCTGTTTCGAGCATTTGGGTGAAAGGTATATAGATCATCAGTTGGTCTCTTTTTTGTGCTCTTTGCAGGCAGGTTTGTTGATCTTGATCAACAAACCATCTCCTGATCAGAGTCTGGTTATGAGGGTGTTTGAAGGAGGGCCTTGCAAAATGAATCAATGGTTGCTCACAGAAGGGGCCAATCTGCCAGCATCAGGGAGTTCGGGTGGTTTATAGATACAACCCTTTCGACGGTGCCAGTGTAGATCTGAGCTCACAGAGGACGTAGTACACGATCCTGAGGATGGCGATGGGATGGAGGCTGTCTTCTACAACTTCTGTGGTCCTGGCCATGCCATTCGGCATGTGAATCGGTGGGCGGACTGTGAATCGGTTGCGATGGATCAGGATGCAGCAATCTGAAGAGGGGAGAAGGTACCCAGGTACCTCCATCTTCCACCAGCTTCCTGTCGAGGTCACCTGTAGACTTGGCTCACCTTATGTGCTGAGTCCTTCCGGACCGCGTTTCGACCCGACCACGTGGGACGAGCCCGTGACGCCGTGACGCCGTGAACACCGGTTCTGAGGCCCAACAGGATCCAAAAAAAACAAAACCCAAAGGAGGTGACACTACAACACGATGGCATTCTTGAAAGGGTCTTTGACCTGAGGCGCCCCAACAGCTCCAAAAAAGATCCACAAGGGTGGGTACACCAGAAGACCAGGCACTTTGAAGTTCTTTGAAGGCTTCTCGGCTTCCCTAAGAATCCGCACCCTCCAATGGGCCAGATTGGGGTCGCTGCCCCACTGCGGAGTCGGGGGATCAGTCGTCCGCCGCCATCCGTCGCTGCAGGCAGACATGAACGGAATGAACTTCACCAGGTTTTGCAAGGAGACGCTGAATGGTTGGCGCGGGGGGAAGCGGAGGTGAGAAAACAGGACAACTTGCGGTGAAATGAGGAATTAGGTGGAGAAACCAGAAGTTTGGAGTAGATGTCCCACCTGGAGTTGATCTTTCTTCCCCAAGTTGGAGTCGATTTTCTCCAAGATTCTCCACCACCTCCAAGGTGACCATCTTCGAAGGCTCACCTCCTCCTTAATGTTGGCGCCTGATTAGTAAATAGGGGCTCCCCCCCCCTCCCTCAAACAAACAGGGGGTCCTCTATAATAAACTATCACCAAAACAAATCTGGATTCCTGTGAGAATTCCTTTTTGTAATTGATTGTAGTATTAATTTTCCTTTCATAGATTGTATTCAGCTTCGTTTCTCAAGTGCTTTGTAATTGTTCTCAGCAATCCTTTTGCTTTGCATGTCAGCTTTGAAGAAACCTAGAGAAAGCTATATCAGCTAATGAATCATAATCA